TATAATTTGCATCGAACACTGATTCAGCATATGGTCAACTAAACATTCTCCCAAAGGCTTGTTTGTTTGAGTAGAAGTATTCCATGCCAAATAATGTGGTTTGATTGCCAATTTGAACGATGTAGATGGGACATATAATTTTACAATTCACTCTCTCTCTCTTTTAGTTTTTGTTGAGGTATTCATAGAGAAGGATTGACTGTTGAGGGTGATTGATTGAATAGGGAGAAGGAACGAGCAGGGGAAGAAGGGTGCTCGGATAAAGATAAAAGTTTAAGGATTAGCCAATTTAAATTGCAAACAGCCTGTTTTAAGGATTAACTAAATGGTTATTATGTTATTTTAACATGTTAAAAATTTTGGGTTCTTGTCCAATAACTAAGCCGGTGTTCAAATCGATTCTCAATTTGTATGCCAATGTTTTCTTTGAAGGAGAAAATTTATGTATAAAGTCTAGAAGTGATTCATCTTGGACAATTTGTATGCCATTTTTCCTTGCAACGTGCTTCAGAACTCTGAAATTCCCTTGTATGCTAATTTGAACGATGCAGATGGGACATATAATTTTTCAATTCACTCTTTCTCTTTTTGTTTTTGTTAAGGTATTGATAGAGAAGGATTGACTGTTGAGGGTGATTGATTGAATAGGAAAAGGGAACAAGCAGGGGAAGAAGGGTGACTCGGATAAAGATAAAAGTTTAAGGACGGGCCAATTTAAATTGTTGAGGGTGATTGATTGAATAGGAAAAGGGAACAAGCAGGGGAAGAATGGTGACTCGGATAAAGATAAAAGTTTAAGGACGGGCCAATTTAAATTGCAAACAACCTGTTTTAAGGATTAACTAAATGGTTATTATGTTATTTTAACATGTTAAAAATTTAAGGAGGGGAGATTGTAAAGTCCCAAAAATAATAATAATTAATTATTCTACGTGCTATATTTTTATATTTTGGAAAGTTATGGACTAAAATGATATATTGCAATTTCAAATTTTATTTGGGTCATATATTTAGATTTTGATCGAGTATGATAAGTATATGAATATTGGTCTCATTGGATAGATCGTAATTAAATACATAATTCAGGCTCGAGAAAAAGTTCATTTGAATAAGTCAGCTCCAAGTTATTGCAGGTCGAAGAAATTGCTAAAAGCTAATTATTTATTTATTTATAACTTTGAATATGAAAGTGTAGGTATTGCACGTGTGTGGAAATGTTATAATTTGGGGTTGCTTTTGGACACATGTACGAATTCTATATTGAGTTGACTTGGTCCAACATTTTTTGTTTCAATTTCTGTTTTCCCCCAACGTTTATCCAATTACTCACCTTATTCTACACGATTCCCACTACGTGCCAGCTCTTGAGGATAGGTTATTATTGCTTATTCATATAGATACATGTATATTGGAGGGGACACACGTACACAGAAGGAAAAAAAAAAAAAAACGAATTTGGCTTGTTGTACATTCCATGGTTCACATGGAGTTTGACACTCCATGTGAATTCAAATGCAAATGGGCGGGAAAGTGTGTGGTATTTAAAAATTGTCCAATCATGCTCCAACACGTGGCACGATGTCAAAGTTGATGTACTAGTAGCATGATTCAATGACTATACGGTAAACAACAGAGGCAGAAAAGAAAGAAAGAAATGGAACGTGATTTTATTTTCAGCAATAATCTGGAGTTTCGTTATTTTGTGGACATCTAATTGGAAATTTGCAAGATAAATTATTTGGTTATGTATTTTCGTAATGTGATTTGTTAACACTGACTTATTATTATTAATTTGGGTGATGAGTTCTTTGCTACTGAATTTTCAGAATTAACTCTCTCGTTAATTTAACAGAAATTTCTAGTAATAGGACAGAGAGTAACCTGACCATTTTGGATGAAGACTACGTGTGCATGTGAAGGGATAGAAAATCAATTAA